GTCGTCTAGCTACCTTATAGCAAGTGAATTGTAACTCATTAAATAAGAAACTGCCAATTGCCACTTCTCATTGTGAAAACTGTCAACAATCTGAAGATGGTCACCTGTGAGAGTGAAATGAGGCCAGAGATGGTGAAACTTGAAATAATTAATCATTGATGAGTCCAGGTGAAAGAAGTGGTCAACGTGTCTACTTCCTCACCTTCAACCCGTAACCACCACCAAGACTCGAAAGAAAGCAAATTGGCAATAGTAGGTTGAGCCGTAATTACGTTTCGTATGGTTTGTCTGATGTTGTGGCCTGTGGGTTATGCAGACTAAAAAGCTTTTGCTAAGGACATTACAGCCTGCTGGAAAACCCCGTATTTTATATTGAAGAACTATGCCATCTCCGGTCAGACCTGCGCGCTTAGATTTTGGAATAAGTGGCTATGCCAACAACGACATATGGACTGATGGCTTACCTATCTGTCCGCTCTCAGGTAATAATGTGATTGATATTTTATTCTTGACCAGTTTAAAAATTGTAGTCTTAATATGTTTTGTATATTTGAGATTTTGAGTTCGTTTTAACATTAAACTTTATTGACCATAAGTTGAGTGAAGTTTTCTCATCTGATTTAATAAATCATTTAAGATTGGAAAACTCTTGAACTAGTTGAAGTAATTACAACATTTTTTTGCCTCTATATTTGCATATTTCCAATGAATTTGAAACCTAATGGCAAACAAGGAATTTTTTACTCAGTTCAGTTCAAATTGGCTGATACACTTCAAATTTTTGTTCACTAACCTTAACCTATCATTCCTAATTTCCTATGGCTACCTGGCTTGCTATGGGAGTAATTAATTGAAGGTAAACAAAAAAACTATCTTGTTTGCCTCTATGATTTTGAAATCTCATGGCTTAATTGTGCATTTTTAGAAACAAATATATGGGAAATGATTCATTTATCATCCATCACTTCAATCAGTTCAATGCTATTAGCCTGCCTAGCCTAACTTGTGTTGCTATGCAGCTATAGCTCTTGTGTTGCTGCCTTGCTGGCCTTTAATAGAAATAACCTATTTTGTTAATAAAACTGAGATAGGCCTATAATTTTCTAGGCCATAGTGGCATAGCACTAGTATGGAATATATCTACTTGGCGAGCCGCGACTGAATTTTTCGAGCCGTGGTTTTATGGATTTGCCAGCCGTGATTCCATTTCTACGAGCCGTGATTCTATTTCACGGTTTTCACCGAGCCGTGAATTCCATATCTCGGCCATGAAAAGCCATTTACGAGGTTCGAATGCAAATTTATTTACAAAGTTTATGCACGTGTTACCCCAAATCTCTAATTTTACCCTTAAACAGTCAAACGACAACAATAAAATTTGTCTCTACTGTAAGTTCAGCACGTGTTAATATACAGTCTGACTGCTTTGACATGACCGCAACTATGCGCGATCTTCAACAAACGTTTTGTTGATTTGTTTACATTACGATGTTTATGTTTTTTCTGCAAGATATTTTTGGCGGAAACAGTAAAGCAATGCGGATTGCGGAAGTTGAAAATTTTATGAAATGACATGTTTGCAAAGTGCAAACCGCGATTTTTTAATCAAACAAAAATTTATGACATTCGAGCCGCGAGATTTCATACCTACTGAAATTATATGATATTAGAGCTGCGATATTTCAGACAAAAATAGGACTTTTCCAGACTAGGCATAGCAGAGAATCTGAACTCTTCTTCTATTTCAAGTTCATTTTTGAGTCCTAAATAGAGACCAGTAAAGTATCATCTATATCAGCATTATCATACCGGTATATAAGATATTGGATTGAATCTTGAGTACCTGGTAGATACCACTATGCAGAGGGTGGATGCAGCATTGCCAATATATGGATTTTTAAGCCCAAAGCGTCACCGGCCATTTTAAAGATGCATTGCTGGGTAATTTTTAATGAAAACCCATTTACGCTGAGTAATGACGAACTATTTACAAGCCACGAACTTATTTACAAGGTTGCATGCACGTGTTACCCCAAATAACTAATTTTACCCTAAAAACAGTCTGATTGTACAGCAAGTGTCAACTGAACATGTAATAAAGCAGTCTGACCGCTCTAATGTGACCGAAACTATGCAATCGAAAAAAACGTTGTTTACTTTTTTTGCAGGAACTCATCGCAACTGATTTCCGGACAAGCTTCGCTGCATCGTAATCCATCCAACGTACCGGAAACCTTACTTTTTTTTCTAAATAGTTGGCCGAAGTCTGAGAAATGTATTAAATGCAAGAATTTCAATCTAAATGTGTCGGCAAGATCTTCTGAAGGCAAAAATTTGGCTACTGAAGCGTCGCCAAAGATCTTGCAATATTCATCCACTCTCTGCACAGTGGAGTAGATATGGAAATTGAAAATTTACTGTTTCTAAAAAAATGTCTGGTTTGCTTACTTTGCTACTATAAAATCTAGCATGATTGAAATGAAATTTTTCACTGACCATAATTATATGGTTACATTGACAAGTTGAGTACATTAGCTGCTTTGCTGAGTGGCAACTGGTAAGATATGTCTCATTGATGATGAAGACTAAAGGTAGAGGTGTATAGCGTAGAGGGTATCTCATGAGCTCAAATATCTTCGGTTTAGAAGAGCTCTAGTAAGGGGCCACAATCCTATGTACAAACAATGAAAAGATCCAAGATCCATAGTAGCTATAGCAATCATCGTAGATCAGTATGTCATGCCTGATGCCTGTAGTTCTGTTTGGTTGTTAATCCAGGTTTAAATTTGGAAATATGTACACTATAAATTGGTTACTGAGAGTTGAGACAAGTTTAACTTTAGAAGTATGTACCTACTAATAAAAATGTTGAGCATCAATACCACTTATTTTTTAACTGTAAACCAATTTTCCATACCAATTACCATAATCTTAGCATCATTAAAGGCTTCCTATTTGATTATAATAAAATATTGGTCTATCATATTCTATCAATGTCTTACATATTTGTATATTGTGCAGGAGTGGGCATGTCAGCAAATCAGATGTATCGTGAAGATGGTACCCCTTGTTCAGCGCATGAGTATGAGGATCGCAGTATCCACTTCTGCTTAGATAGAGAGAACCAGACTTATCTGTATGCTGTCTTTGATGGGCATGATGGTGCTAAAGCTGCATATTTTGCATCACAGGTAATAATGAAAAAATGATCAATCATTAGTGTCATTCAACACAGAAAAATGTAAATAATGACATCTTCCTTAAGGTTTGCTACATAATGTTATTTTATGTATATATAATTTGGTTATTGTATAATTATTTTAAATTATATTATCAGTGCAATGTCTATAATATATGTCTATAATATAATATATGTCTATAATAAATATAATTTTCAACAATACCATAGTTCATGGAAACATTGAGTAAGGCGATGTCCATTGTAGTTTAAAATATTTAATTCACAATTTTTTAGGTGCTTGAGCTGCATTTTTAAAATCTAAAGTGAATTTTTGTTTCAAATTTGTAGCGGCTTCCAGCTGAATTGAGCTTTGAACAAATTACTCCTAAAAGCAGCAGAGAAAAAGTAAGAGAAGTTTTTGCCACAGCTTTTCATGCTGTTGAGGAAGCATTTTTAGAGTCCATTGACCACTGCATTGCTGAACGCACACAACTCTTGGACAAAATTCCTGAAGACATGCCCCAAGTTGAAGCAGCCAGGAAGTTCCCTGAAACCCTGGACCGACTTCAAGTTAGTAATCTATGTATACGATATACTAAATGAGAAAATGACATTTTTATAGGAGGTTCACCTTGAGGCATGATACTTTGTAATAAATTGCTCTAACATCAACATATGTAGTGCACTATTGCATAATGTGTATAAATGACTGCTAATTATCTGTTTTAAGGGTGATTCAACTACCTATATATGGTGTAGAAAGAGTTTGAATCGTTATCTTGCACTTGGGAACATAATATATTACCTGAATAGGCATGTGATAATTGATTCATGCAATGCCTTCTCTCATAGGAACTGGAGAAGCAAATTCGGTGTGGGACCACAGCTGTTGTTGCTCTTATACACGCAGGGGTGTTGTACGTGGGAAACCTGGGCGACTCAAGGGCATTGCTCTGCAAAAAAGACAAGTTTGTATATATTAAGATATTGCTGGGCATTTTCATTTAATTTTTTTCTATTTAGGGATATTTTAGGCAAATTACTGTGGTACGGTATCACTGATAGGTTGGTAAATTCCCTCGCGAATCCCCGCCATCCTGAATCCCCGCCATCCTGAATCCCCGCCATCCCGAATCCCCGCCATCCTGAATCCCCGCCATCCCGAATCCCCGCCATCCACCAACGCACCGCCATCCTGAATCGCCGCCATCCCAACTCACCGCCATCCCAACGCACCGCCATCCCAACGCACCGCCATCCTGAATCGCCGCCATCCCAACGCACCGCCATCCTGAATCGCCGCCATCCCAACGCACCGCCATCCTGAATCCCCGCCATCCCAAAGCACCGCCCCATTGATGGCCCCATTGTCCATGCATTCAGTTATTCGATTTTTTAAGTTCCATTCAACTCGCTGAAGCATATTGACGGGTAGGTATGTTGTCGATGGCTTGACTGGTGTGATGCCCCCCATAAAAAAACACGTAAGAATCTATTTCCGATCAGGAACCTAACCTGAAGGGCGAATACGGAACTAAGTATGGAATGCTTGTTGAGTAGCAATAATGGAACGGCCATTAGAAAAGTAAGTAGGCCTCGACTGCAAACGCACGCTGTCCACTTGTCCAATGCATAGTTGCAACTGACTAGGCGGGACACAAAACATGTGAAAAGCTCCCCCCCCCCCGTCATTTTACTAAAATATCCGCCTGCTTGGCTCGAAATACAAAACAGGAAGTTTCAGTGAATCACCCTCTATATTCTGAATCGTTTTAAGAGCTAATGATCTTCTCTTGCTTTTAAATTGGATGTAACCTTTTTTCCATGTAGAGTGTTTGGTTGACATGGATGTTGTCCCTGAGACATGGAATAATACGTTCTTAGCGCAAAAAAATATAACTCAGTACTCACTGCGACAGAGAGCGCATTTTCTCGTCGACGAAAACTTGAGGTCACGGACGGACGGACAGACAGACGGACATGGCAAGCACAATAGTGAATTTTTTCCATAAATGAGAAAATGCGCTAAAAACTGTGAAAACTGTCGTCCTGATTGTACTGCCTTGCACCCGCTGTGCAGGTGCGGCGTTCTTAAGGTGAAGCAGCTGAGCCGCGACCACACGACCAGCAGCCACGAGGAGCTACAGAGACTTGCTGCTCTCGGCCTGCACAAACATAAGATAGAAGGTGGGGTGCCTTCTGGCTGGTGGAAGTGAAGGTGGGGTGCCTGCTGGCTGGTAGAAGTGAAGGTGGGGTGCCTGCTGGCTGGTGGAAGTGAAGGTGGGGTGCCTGCTGGCTGGTGGAAGTGAAGGTGGGGTGCCTGCTGGCTGGTGGAAGTGAAGGTGGGGTGCCTGCTGCTTGGTCTATAATGAAGTCTTGGAGAAGTGCAATAGCCAGCTAACAATATTAAACATTTCTGGGCTGTATTTAATGTTGTGAGTTCTTGAGGAGCCTCGAAGAAATGTAATGAAATAATATATATTACGTATATGCCTATAGAAGTATAATTTCATCGCACTAATATGTAGAACATTATGATAACAGGCGTTCGACTAGGCAACCATGAGATCACGCGGTGCATCGGCAACTATTTCCTAAAGGGCGGCTACAAGGAATTCGATATACTCAGTCCTGCGTCCGCTGAACCTGTCATTTCGGTGCCTCACATCGACGTTGTTCCGATCGACGACTCGTGCAGGTGTGAATATCTACCATGTCTTTCTATGCTTACATTGAAAATTGATTATTGATAATATTGAAAACTGCCTACTCCATGCCTTTCTATGCTTACATTTAAAATTGATTATTGATAATATTGAAAACTGCCTACTCTGCAACAACGAATTGTTCATATTGAATGGCTGCAGAATTCGATAAGATGGAAGTTTGCTCGGTGCTGGAGAAATCTGTTGCCGGTTCTTGATGCTTTGCTCTTGTTGGATCAATACATTGAGCCAAGTTCAATTATGTGTGTATCTGCTTTATATCAATATTTTCAACTTACAATATAATTTTCATCTATTATTTTATCGAGACTTGGTGGAATTGTGAGAAAATTAGCTTAGCATGAATAATTTTGCAATGAGGGTTATTATTGTTGCTTCTTTTTGAATATGTATTTCTTTGTGCATTTTTATATTGAATAAATTTATTATCCAAACAGCAGCTAACGTAAATTCCTTGCAGAAACCATCGAAAAATGATTAATTAAAAATTCTGCTTTATTTATTTATTTTAGCTTCTTATTGTTGATGAGCGATGGCCTGTACAAGAGCTATCAAGAAGCGACAGGCTCCCAACAAGTCAACAAGGAGATCGCGCAGATGGTTGTTGAGCAGGTATCTTTATTTCTTTATGTAGAGTAATTGTATATAAATCTATTGCATATAATATTTATTTATAACTATTCTTCTTTATATAACTATTTATCAATAAATCTGCTATGTACAATATCATATATGATAGTTGACTCTCTGTAGACTTGTATAGTTTTTTTATCTTGACGTTCACTTTTTTTATTCTCAATTGTGGAATTTATAAAAATCACTAATTTTTTATTTGTATTTTCTCCATTTGACATGCGTGTGTCAGAACCTGATTTGTAAATTTGTGTCGCTTTTTCACGCTATCCACTTGAAAGTCGAGCTAATACACGTTTTTTAACTTCAAGTTTTCTCTGATATAACATTTAATCTCTGTTCCAAGTTACTTCCCCGAGTTATTAACTTTCTGGGGCCCCGCTATCAAAAATTGTTACGAGTTCGTTTTACGGCGCTTCAAACTACCAACTTATCACAGACGAGAAATCTGCCGGTATGTGTACTTAGGCCGCTATCTGTACTCAGGCTGCAACGTGTCCTTAGACCGTTTCGTGTATATGGCCGCTACGTGTACTTAGGTCGCTACGTGTACTTAGGCCGCTACGTGTACTTCGGCAGCTACATAAGTTTTAATAGAAGATCTTCTGTACATTGGTGATCAGTTCGTGGAGCAGGCGACGATCACAAGTGTGGCTCAGACGGTAGTGGATAAAGTGGTGCGGCTGCATCACGACAGGTACCTCACGCAGCAGAACAACTTCTCAGGACGTGACGACATCACACTTGTCATCAGGAACTTCTCCTTCAGGTGAAAACTTCTCTAAAACTGCAATTGTCCACTTGGCATGGGTTAATGTTCCACTGTTTTTTTAGCAATGAGATTAATTTTTTTGCCGGTATCCAGTAAAAACTATTTTAAAACTGCAATTGTCCACTTGGAATGGGTTAATGTTTCACTGTTTCTTAAGCCATGAGATTATGTTTTTTGCCAGGACGGCCATAGCCATCAGATGCCATTGGATTAAATCTTATAAGGCATCCATCCTCATTCAATTATCTTTCACTGGAACATGTCTGGGGTAATGTTCCACCATTTCACCAACCATGAACTTAATTAATTTTGTTATAAAACATAAATTTAAACAAATTGTTGGTTTTAATAATTTTTTTGTTTATGTATGCGCATGTAAAGTAAAGTTATAATGATGCGTGCAGACTGCGCGGGCCGTGCAGCGGTAGCCGCAGCCCTGCAGGAGCGCTAGCGCCTGGTCCCTCGTGTGCCCTCGAGCCGCCCCTTGCTGAAAGCCGAGACGCCGGGTCTTCAGAAGAGGTCTTGTACATAGTCTTGACTAGCGTGCAGAGTCTTGACTAGCGTGCATAGTCTTGACTAGCGTGCATAGTCTTGACTAGCGTGCATAGTCTTGACTAGCGTGCATAGTCTTGACTAGCATTCATAGTTTTGACTAGCATTCATAATCTTGACTAGCATTTATAGTCATAATTTTAACAGCCTTTTTTGAACAAATACAAAATTTGTTTTGGCTGCTAACAGAATCGTATAGTGTATTTATTTTCACCCTTAACAGCATTTTTGTTAGGCCATAACTGAATTTGTTTTGGATGATAACAGAAAGTTCACTGAGCGGTATGGTTCACGATGTCTTTTGAAATAGTCTAAAAACTTGAAAGAATAATGCATAAATGTCGTGTTAGTGATTAATCTAAATTTAGTTGTCAGATCGTCCGTCTGCCTGACAGCGATTTTGATTTTTGTACTTTTGTTTTAAATGCAAATGTATGCAGTTCCATCAGAATATTTAATAGTCGTTAGGATGTGGTCTTCAGGATTATTTAAGCTTGTACTTGCGGGAAAATACAAGAGAAGATACTTGATGTAAAATCATTGATTCATGTATATCTTATATGAATAAGCCATTTTTATTATTTGGTCTATTGAAGTGCTCTCTATTATGATATGATGACAAGCCTTAAAGTACTGAATATTCTGAAAAATATTCTAATTTTGTAACAAGATACTACGTCATTTCATTTTTAAATAAAAATAATGTTCCTAGACTGCTACATATACTTAGACAGCTACGTGTTCCTAGACCGCTTCGTGTAATTAAACCGCTACGTGTACTTGGACCGCTACATGTACTTGGACCGCTACGTGTGCTTACGCTGCTATGTCTTGAAATTATGCAGGAAGGCGGCGGGGAGACGGTGAGTGACGTATGCACGTCGCAGCAAACGTCTCTGCACTCGTCATCGAACGCTTCTATTTTCCACACGTCCTCCACCGAGAGCTCCGACGTGCAAAGACCAAGCCTGAACCCCCTGCAGCTTGACGAGGACGGCCGCATCGTCAGCTACGTCAGCTTCACGCCGTATTATCAGGCCCTTAGAGAGGCTAATAAGAAGGGGATAATTTCTGATACGCAGCTACAACTTTATTTATAACCACGCACAATGATCGCGAAATTTAAGGTGCACAAATAAATAATTTCATCAATATTACTTCTTGTTGTTGAAGTAATTTTTGTCTATGCGTGCTGCGTATTTATTTGAAGTGTTCTCAGTTCACTTAAACTTTATTTATTACGTGATCATCATGACTCATCAAAATACGGTAAACGCCTTAAAATAAATGAAACGCGTGATTTTCAGCCCTAGTATTCATGTAGCGGTGCATTATTTATTTGTTTAAAGAAATTTTCATCATATATTCTGGATCCGTGATTGTTTCAATGGAGAAGAGATAATTTTGTCTTACCGTCGGTTGGAAATACCTATTGAAAAAATAGTTTCTATATTAATTCTATTGGCCATACAATGAAGCTTGTTGCTGTGATTAACTTAAGCTTGCGTAACTTAACGTAACTTGTCGAATGATTAACATAAGAGATTTTTTAACCTTACTTGTAAAAAAACGAAACAACTGAAATACGATGTGTGAATAGTCCGCCGCAGAACTTGAAGGCTCCAGAGAAATATTTTCATATTTCTTCTGTATTCGCGCTGTTAGATTTTATGTTCGCATGTCGGAATTGGTCGATGCGCGGGCTTCGGCAACAGTTATTAGATTTATAATAGAATGAGATCCGCTATCAACTAATCAGCTGCGGAAAATTATTTATATTCGAGAAGAATTGTTTGATAGTAAATTCTTATTTAGTAAGATGAATGTTATAAAAAATTGCTGTGGATGATGAAATCCGCCATTATATGTATTTGTTAGGCCAGAAAATCCTAGGTATTCGTCTTCGTGCAGATCAAATTTTATGTAAATTGAATGTTTAAGTTTGCTGAGAATTCTAAGTCCCGTTTAATGTAAATTTTTATACTTAACATTAATGCTTGAATTGTTACGCTCGCGTTGTGAATAAAACCTACTTTGCTTTATAGCTGTTTATATTGTGCAAATAATAATCTTACTATACTTAACCTAATTACCGATCAAGTTAAATAGCGATTTACACATTTAGTAAATAATTTTATAAAGTGCAAGATTTACACGATTTTCAAGTAAATTTAGCAATTTCAAAAATTGAACCATAGTCATCATAATTTTTTTCACAATGTGTAGAATTTATATTAAGATTTTTCAATAAAATCTTCACACCAAATGTATTACATTCTCTTCAATGCCTAATTCATTCCTTCAAACATCGATGCAACGTACAGCGTTAGAACTTTATTGTGCATTTTCCTCCAATCGTTTTCATAATATTGGTAAATCTTATTCCTAGCGAGAACCTATCAACACTAATTACCTATTAGCACTAATGTGTTGTTAGATCGGTTTGGTAAGTAAATTTGTGTAGTTCAAGAACATAGTTATTTATATTAAATCTCAGTTTTGCCACATGGCTTAGGAATTTAATATGATCAAGCATGTCTCACTCGTGTACGTAACTCACTTGCCCACTTGCCTCAGTTGTGTACGTAACTCACTTGCGTCACTTGTGTACGTAACTCCCCCCCCCCCCCCCCCCCCCCNCTGATGTGTTTCATTAGCAACAACCGAGCTTCTCAGCGCATAGCCATCCAAACTCCACTCCAAGCAGTCGCGATACGCATCCAGCTCCACAGACTCGTTACAATCTGTAATATTTATATTCCCCCCAGATTACCCCTTTTTGTTTATGACCTAGTACAGCTTAGCCGCCAACTTCCGCCTCCATATCTAATCATCGGAGATTTCAACGCCAGAAACCCACTATGGGGTGACACAACTTATAACCAACATGGAGAGGTCGTAGAGCAGTTCTTGATAGAGGCTGACCTCTGCCTCCTCAATACAGGAGCCGGGACGAGATTCTGCTCCCAGTCGGGGGAATCGTCGGTTCTGGACTTATCCCTCTGCTCACCCGATATCGTGCTGGATCTAGGCTGGCGAGTTATGGATGATCTACATGGTAGTGACCATTTCCCGATCATCATTGATATACTTCCATGCCCTCCTGTGCATCGAACTCCGAGGTACCTGTACGACAAAGCTGACTGGGAGGTCTTCCGACGGCTCACACAGGTCCCCTCTGACAACAACCAAATCTGCAACCTTCCCATTGACCAGATGATCGAAAAGCTAACATCCCTGATTCGAGCAGCAGCTAACTGCGCGATACCCAAAACGCAAGGCACCCGAAACCGGCCAAACCCATGGTGGACGCCCGCATGCACGCAGGCGAATCTAGAAAGAAAGCGAGCACTTCGCCGCTTTCAGCGATCCGGCCTGGTTGCCGACAAAATCGCATACAGCCGAGCTAGGGCGGTGGCGCGGAGGGTAAAGAAAGACGCCCGCTCTGAGTCATGGCGGCGATATGTGTCGGGAGTTAATGCGGACACGCCCCCATCGAAAGTGTGGAACAGAATCAAGAAGATGACTGGGCGCTACAGCACACAACCATCCCCGTTTCTTATGTACAATGGAGAACCCGTCACTGAACCCCGCGCTTGTGCTGAACTCCTCGCAGACCACTTTGCTTCAGTGAGTAGCCGGGAACGTCATACGCCAGCATTTCGCCGCCATCGCGACAGAATGGAGGCCTGCCCCCTGGATTTTTCATCAAATGATCCTCAGCCTTATAACGAACCCATTACCATGATTGAAGTTGAAGGCATGCTGAAATGCTCCCGCCCAACACCCCCTGCCTCACTCGCGTACGTAACTCACTTGCCTCACTCGTGTACGTAACTCACTTGCCTCACTCGTGTACGTAACCCACTTGCCTCAGTTGTGTACGTAACTCACTTGCCTCACTCGTGTACGTAACTCACTTGCCTCACGTGTGTACGTAACTCACTTTTTTAATACTAAGCCTGAATCCAGATTATCTACACCTACGAAAAATCTTATACATATTCTACAAAAAATAATTATACCATTTATGTAAGTAACATTTTCAGGGCTCATACTAATGAATTCTTTCAATTATTTCCTTTCTAATCAATATTTCCGATTACATATATAATCTGTAGAATAATTATTGTCCTTTATAATGGCTAGTTGAGCGGAACTGTTCGTTGCCATGGCAACGGAGACTCGAGGCATGCGTTACCATGACAACCGAGACTTCTGTGTTGTGTGCCTAATCAGGATACGATACTGGCTTATCTCAGTGATGCTGTGTGATGCAGGCACCAGTTCCCTACCGTGGAACAGTCATTGTTACAACAAAGTTTTACGTATGACGTGGAATATTTTAATGACGAGTATCTGATATAATTATAGTATTTTACACGCTATTCAATAATGACAACACCAGAAGTGCGGATCACTGAATTAAATGAAACTCGAGAACTGACTTAAGATGATAGTTTGTTGAAGAACTAAATAGCTTCAATGTAAGAATTTAATGGAATATGTACTAATATGTACTGTATGCCATCCATTAGCTATATATTTGCCAACAATTAGTATAATACCTATGAGTTCACCAGGTAACCCATAAACAACTTCCTTACACTAAATTTATACATTTAAATGCGCGATGTATTAGATGATGAAAAAATTTGATTTGTGTTGCCAAAAAGCTTGTCTTAATCCCGTCTAATTTCTGCAAGTTGCCGCGGTGTATTCAATTTTTTAAAATAATAGTTAAATGTTGATTATATTCCTTCAATTGAATAAAACTTGGCACATACGCGTACACTCAACCGTTCTTTATTGCCTATGAATATCTTTCTGATGATTTTTCAAACTACAAAAATTTTCGGTCACAGAATTATAGTTCTATTATCATATTTAAAATTAATTAAATAGTGCATACCTTTCACTCCCCCCGAATTAATCATCTAAAATGGGTCTCACAGCCAATACCTAGGCAAGAATCCTTTATAGTCGTATGGGCTTAAGATAGATGCCAAGTTCTTTGTAACTTATAATTTTATGGCAAAAGACTTTCGTGCTTGTGTAATATAACTTCCAATTGAAATAATTAATACAAATATCCTAAATCTTTACACGATGGATATGCATTTTTTATTATTGTCTGAGCAGATCTTTGGTGGAACCGCATAATCTTCTTCTAATGAAAATAGACAAAAACCATTGTTCAAAGATTAAGAAATGAGAACCAATGTGCAGTCAATAACTGGGTATGCCTTACAAAGAACATTAATTCTGAATACCAGTTTTTTTCTTATAATTCATTCCATTGCGCTCCACACGTCAAGGTTTTACCTTAATGGGGCTATATGTAGAATTTACTTGAGAGCCTTCCATCTCTTTAAGAACTAATATCACGATTTCTCAGAGATTTTTTTAAATATAAAAGACTATAATTGGATTAAGATCTTTCGAGAGAAAATTTTGATTTTTTAATATAAAAGACTATAATTGGACTAAGATCTTTCGAGAGAAAATTTTTCTGGTAATGAGCTCATGGAATGGAGTGGGCAGACCGGCCGACATCGGGCCGTCGCATGTGTTGCATTTGCTGCTGTCAGCGGCGCGGCTGCATGTAGCGGCCAGACATGCTTCACGGCAGGTAAGTGAAATATCAAAGAAAATGAAGTTTATTTAACAAATGTCTTGAATTAAGATAGAATAGAATGTTTCTCTTTAAATTTGATGTGGTAAATAACGTAATTTGTTTAGTAGACCGACCAAGAAATTAATGCGAAATTCAAAATGACGTACTTTTATTATTGTTTAGATGGTTGTTCTTTATTATTGTTCGTTATTATTCATAGATATTTCGTTTTTCCCATTATTTGTAATTATAAATCGTGGATTTTGTAAATTATTTTCAATATACGAGAAAAAATTGTACATGTGAACTATTTATACTAGAAAAATGTATACTTCCATGCTCAATAATTGCAGGGGGAGAACATTGTATGTGTAAACCATTTTTATTAGAAATATTTCACACCTGCTTTATATTTGAAAATATAAATAGTCGATACGTGTATTTAAGTTGGGGCCAAGCGCCCAGCACAAAGCCCCCCCGAGCTTGTCGGGGCCGAAAGGAGGCCCCAACCTCGCGGCCCAAAGTACAGCCGACATCTGGACGAAGCTGCTCGATAATCCGGCTGTCAAGAATCCTAATCAAGCCTTAAGTCAGCTTCAGTGGATTTTTGATGTAGGTGAAAAATATGTTAAAGTATAAACAGCATGATAAAATTTTAATTGCTAATTTTTTGGCTTGGCGTTAAAACCGTTCAGGGTATCATATGAACATTATCCTATATAGCAATATAGGTATACGAACAACGCAATCTCTTGGTGAATCTAAAAACATGCTTTCAGTTAGTTAATAACAACAAATTTTAACAGTTATTAAACCTCATTGAATGAGTTTACATAAATTTTTAATGCAATGTAAAAACTACGACGAGTTCTTTAACCGATTATTTAATGAAATTCTGTTATTGTATTGCAGCAAGGGTTGCTGGATTCCATTCTTCCATATATCGTTTCATCGCTGGATTTACAAAGCAGTCCTCCAGATTCACCGAGACGTAACACCCTCGTCCCATCTCCTTCCACATCGAGTTCATCCACGCTGAATCCATCGTCTGCATCCGCGCTGAATCCATCGTCTGCATCCACGCTGAATCCATCGTCTGCATCCATGCTGAATCCAGATGGCCAGAATCCTAATCCATCTGTAAGCAGTATCAATCCTTCAGTTCGACTTCCAACTATTGGCTCGGCTTTGAAAGATTCCACGCAAGAAGAGAGCGAAGCTAAAGTACCAACAGATAAAGTGGCATCGCCACAAAGTGACATCCAAAAAATTCTGCAGTCTGCAATCAGGAGTAATCCTGGAACACCAAAGAAAAATAGAAAAGTATTTAGTGACATCGCTGACCTCAGGTAATAAATTCTTTCTGTGTGATGAACAAAGTGATTAAGAATATTTATGGCTTACTTTTCAATTTCCTACTAAATGTTTTTATTTTTTATTGCTCTCAATCGTGCTATCTTGCTGCAGTCCACCTATGAAGGGTATACCTGTTATAAAGGTCGATGAGATCAACATCAGAGTAAATATTTCTTGATTACAAAATTTTTCTATTACATATAGTATGAATTTACTAAAAAATATTCATTTAATTTCTTTATTATAAACATGGTAGAGCTTTAAAGTGAAATTCTTTCAAGTTCAGTTTAAATTAAAAATGATTAGTTCTGGCCAATATTGAAAGCTTTTAATTCGCAATTGCATAAAGGCAACCTAAATAGAAAATAATTGCCTAGCACTGCACAGACTATTGTACAAACAAAATGTAACATTATTGTCATGCTTGAAGATGGAATTGTCCAAACTTGTTGCTGTTTATAGGCTCATTATAGGAATTCTTTACATTATGTCTTCAAGATCGCCAGCGAACCAAAGTGAAAACGACTCAGCCTCCGCGGCCGCGACGCCACGTATCAACGCAGACACCGCGACAGCTGCAAGCGTTGTAAGAGAAACCAACGCTGGCGGCACCAACACCTCTGACAATGCAACTAATGAGGACCAGAGGTGTTATGTCTTTATCTTAACAATTTTAAGATTAAGATAATCATCGTAATCTTAAGTATTTTTGTCTAAGTTTGTTTGTGAGCGCGTGTGGAGTCTGGTGCTACAGATATGGCTGTTCTTGAGCGTTTCCACGATGGTTATCGTGTCTGGATGTTACCTGAAACTGAAATTTTTATTCGTAGTGGGGGAATAGGAAAGGATTAGAGAAGTGGAAGTGAAGGATTGGATCAAAGATTGAAATTTAAATTACATGCAATGCTAAAGACGCAAAATAGTTTTTTCGTATTTTGAAATGATAGTTAAATGGGAGTCCCAATTTCAATGAGGAATGTGGATTTGAAGAGGACTTTGTTTAATTAGAGTACACTATCTTTATTATTATTTAGTGGATTTGGGATTACAGGATTGACGGTATATGGGATAACAGGATTCCAAAATTGCAGGACTTATCAAGGCAACGCAGGTCGAAGCTGCAAGTATTAAATATCATACATATTGTTTAACTGGTAACCTAAAAATTACATAAATTATCTTCTCGTAGAAAGGATACAAAAACATCCATTCATGGTCTTGACTTGACGGAAGTAAAGAAACAATTAAGATTAATAATAGTTTTAAAAGTATTGGGACCCTGACTTCTTTGTAAATAAGTTTGTGATGATCGTTTAATAGAACCTAATTTGCGTGAATTTATCTGTGATAAGTTGTACCTGCCACAATTTGATAATATTATACGTGCTGTTCAGCCCCACCATCGTTATTCACGTTTGCGATGAAGCGCACGGCCTACGGCAAGACTTCAGCTGCTCCAGGGACCTTCTTGTTCATCATATTGGGTACTTCGCTGACCTCACGCGAGGTGAGTCTAACAGGTAGCGTGGTGGGTCAAACCTGTTTGGTGGGTCAAACAGATAGCGTTGGTCAAACAGGTAGCGTTGGTCAAACAGGTAGCGTGAGTCAAACAGGTAGCGTGAGTCCAACAGGTAGCGTGAGTCTATCAGGTAGCGTGAGTCAAACAGAGACTCTCGAATACCGGAGTTGAACGTGTTCCGTCTATCTGTCCTCATTTGAGCCAGCTGATGCAAGAAGCTGTTGCTTGTCACTTGCTGAGGGCAGTTTAATTACACAGACCGAGCTGTGTTGTATTTGCAGGTCAGCGGCTCGAAGACGTAGACATTTCAGTCCACTGCGACGTGGCGGTGTTCGAGTGGCTGCTGCGGTGGGTCAAAACTGGCCAGTCCCCAGACCACATCAGACCTACCATCGGTGGGTGTAGCTTTGGGTCTAGCTTTATGGGTAGTTAGCAACATTTTTTTTCAATATTCAAATGGCTACTTGAGGTCAGATACCCTGCTATTATATAACAGTTTATGCGACAATTAATTATAAAAATGGCATCTAGAAGTTCATATTTCATCATGAATGATTTGCAGAGGCAAAGAATGCCGTCTCATTGCTGATTTCCGCGGATTTCCTGAAGATGTCGCCGCTGGTGACCGAGCTTCTCGTCTTCATGCACAAGCACGCACAAGACGTTCTTCTCGCCCAGACTAACCTGTCCTGCCTACCAGACCATCTCCTCAACAGGTGACGAAGCTCAACCATCCTGCTGCCTTTGCGGGTCAAAATGACCCGCCGATCCGACCCTTTACGCCCGGAAGGCATATTACGTGTACCGGAAATGTAGACAGCAGGGTTAAGAGGGTTAAGACAGGGATAGGAGGGTGTTTAACAACATGTTAATCTGTCATGGTTAACAGGAGAGTTAAGACCTTAAGATCCCCCAGGTTACACGTAACCAGAGTTCGTTTAGGGAAACTAACTCGTGGCAATGCTGATGCACCACCCATTGACGGTTACCCAGCGTCGTCCACCAGCGGTACCGTTAAATGAGTTGAACCCACGAGTTGAGTTGAACCCAAATGAGCTTCCCACGGTTCGAACCCACGGCTAGCTCTTCTCACCTCGGTGCCGCCATCACTGCGCGGACAAAGTCTCTAACTACTGCGCTACAGTGACGAATAATTTCTTTGATATTTTAGCTCACTTTTTTAAAGTTGTGAAACAATGAACTCTTTCATTGGTTTCAAGTAAGGATGGTAAATTGGAGAGAAGAGGATAAATTATACGAAACTACTAGGTTAACCTGCCTTTTATTGAAGGTTGTGTGTGGTAATTAACGAGTTAACCCAAGGTTGTATGGGAGCGAACAACGACACAGTAGTTTAAACTTATTCTCGGGAAATGTGAGTGAAAGGTAAATGAGGGGTAGCAATACATATATGGATTAGACGCATGTCCTTTAAATTTATTGCCACATCTGCTCCACAGCGACATCTTCTGTGGAAAAATAACTCCCTAACACATGAAGTTTGTAAATTATAAGAATAGATGGTCAGAAATACAATGCGGGGACAGAGAGAAAACCTTTCTCTTCAATCGCCCAAGGCAGTTGCGTTGTAGCGGGCGCTAAATTATCGGGAATGGTTCGGACTGCAAAAGCTGCAGGAATGAATTTAGGCTGGCATGTGTGGGAATGTCACTCCAAGCCAAGTATGCGTACAATAATTTTGACGATTAATATTTTTTCGTAAGAGCACCATTGCAATATGAAACTACTTGCATTTTGTAATTTAAAAACATTTATAGAAGTTTAATAAGAGAAATGAGTTACAAATTCTATCATGAAAAATAATTGTACCCTCTTTCTAAAGCTGATATATTAAAGAGAAGTTTCGATTTGATAATCTTCTTCTGATGTTGCTGATTATTTTTATTATTTATAATATCCCCCACATATTTTGTAAGATTAAATTAGCGTTATGTGAAGAAAGCAAATTAGAAATATGTAACTATTTTTCATGGAATTTTATCGTATATCGGAAAGATTGTCGCGCCAATTCAGCCACTGGGAGGTGGAGGCTCTGCAGGACCCAAAGGACAGACTGCAGGGGCGCCTGTACAGCCGCCTGCTGCAGGCGCTGTGCGAGGCCTGCCCTGCACCTACCAGGGGCATCTTCCGCACCGCTGCTACCCTCTACAGGTAGTTTTTAGTGTGATGTTAATAATTTATACATTGCTTCTTAATTTCAAATGAAAATGCAGAGAATTGATTTCATCAAACACATTTCATTTTTAGTACGATGATAAAAATATGCGTCTACTACGGGCATCTTCCGCACTGCGGCCCCCCTCTACAGGTCAATTTTACTGCTCTGTTTTATCCTTAAAACTGCATACATTTCTTTAAATTCACTTGAAGTAATAAAAAATTTTAATTTTCTTGTGCAGGAGATTTTGTTTTGCCTCTATCTGCAGGTTATTTTTTGAATGACATTAAGGATTCAGCCCTTTTGAGTTTATCCATTATAAACGGCCATGCCGTTTTATTTCAAAAAAATTTCCGCCGAGTTAATGCGATTTGACTGATTGAGAAGGGTTCTTCAGATTTTTCGTGTTTGCACGCCGTTCAAAGTTTCGGTTGTTGTGTTTAAAATTGATTGAAAGATGTCTGAGTGCAATAATTTTTCCCGATTACATCTTAGGGTCAACAACACAGTTAAAAAAAATTGATTGTCACGCGCAACATAACTCGCACTAGCTGCCCTGTTGCTCGTTTGGCTGCAGGATCTTTTTGAGGAGAATTTTGTGTGAAGTAAACATTGCGTCATGGTTGAACAATATTGCTGCACCCAAACTAGATATAGTAAAATTATTCTGTTTGCTATCTGTCTTCGTTTGTCTTCTATATTTTCAAAATTAAAAGCTAAGAAAGCGGCGAGTAAAATCTCAATTTAAAACTGATCGGTGACCAGCTTCATCATACAAAGCTTTCGATAAAAATATAGTGGAAAAACTATAAACCAATGTTATAATAAAAAAATTCGAAAATTTGATTATAATAAATAGCACAATGACTAAGAGCAGATAACTCTGCAAATTGATTGCAGAGTTATATCCGGACTGGAAATTTATAATCTGAAAATTAATTCGAGGATAATGAATATAAATGGCGAAAAAGTTACTGTTTGAAATGTTTTGATGTGACAATTCAGAAACCATGATTAATGAAACTTTCAACTTGTCAAGTCAACTGCTCATTCGTAATTACCTAAGAGCAATACATCTCAAATTAAAAACTGTAAAATATTTTTAATAACTGTAAAAATAATACGTATTACATAAAAATAATACGTATAATAAATCATTTAAATGTTCACGTAAACATGTCTCCAGATGTCAGGACTGCGGGGCGCTCGTCTCTCGTCAAATAGAGCGCCTGGTGGAGTGTACATGTTACAACACACACGTCACGACCACGGGAGCTGTGTACTACCTGCACTCCAGGTGGGCAGGAGCTGTGTACTACCTGCACTCCAGGTGGGCAGGAGCTGTGTACTACCTACACTCCAGGTGGGCAGGAGCTGTGTACTACCTACACTCCATGTTCTGTATTCAATTACTTCTGTTGCTAATATTTTTCTCTTCATTTTAATTGGGATAATTTTTTGTACTTGTGTTCGATAATTTTCGAATTTGCTGTCTCCGGAACACTCAAGTGCAATAGAATTTTAGGAGTAACCCTCAGGTCCTAGGAATAACCTCAGGTCCTAGAAGTAACCCTCAGGGCCTAGATGTAACCCTCAGGTCCTAGGAGTAACCTCAGGTCCTAGAAATAACCCTCAGGCCCTAGATGTAACCCTCAGGTCCTAGGAATAACCTCAGGTCCTAGGAGTAACCTCAGACCCTAGATGTAACCCTCAGGTCCTAGGAATAACCTCAGGTCCTAGGAGTAACCCTCAGGCCCTAGATGTAACCCTCAGGTCCTAGGAATAACCTCAGGCCCTAGGAGTAACCCTTAGGTGATGTCAAATTTTTCGAAGAGAAGCACTAGATTTTAGTTACGTTTTGCACGGGTCATATGCTACAATTGCAGAAATCTTGTCAGGTCGCTAGGCCAAATGTATTTTATTTATAACATGAACTAATAGGTCCTGAACACAGAGTCTACCTACCGAAACACACAATAGAGCCAAACTTACTGATAGATTTCTGGATATATATTTCATACGAGTTTCATATTTAAATCCAGCGATTCTCGGGCGATTATATACCCAGGGATTCTAGGGCAATTATATATCCGGCAATTTTAGGGCAATTATACATCCGACAATTCAGGGCAATTATACATCCGGCAATTTTAGGGCAATTATATATCCGTCAATTTTAGGGCAATTATATATCCGGCAATTCTCAAATTCGAGCAAAGATGTGACTCCGAGTATACATTGAGACTGATACGACCTGTTCAGCGTCGCTCGCTTAAAGCAATTAATTAAATTAATTAACCTTGAAATGAGTTACTAATTCGATCTCAGCTTACCTTCAGACACCTTGCTTTTGAAGAGCCACTTTGCATGTAAATCTCCCTCAATTTATGGGTGACGATAAGCAGTGCGTTTATCATGCTAGCTACCCATTGTTCTGTACAAAGGAGTTCCTATTAAACAAAATATTTAACTCCAAGCTTAATGTCATTGCTAATTGTCTGCCTTGATTCTCTTTGATAGTTAAGTCATCTGAAGTCATTCGTAATAGCCACATTCCTTTTGCGTTAACGTTGCGATGAATCTATATTGATATTCGTTGATAAGTTTAGTCTCGTTTTTTTTACACCAGGGACCCAACTTGTAGTTTTAAGGTGCAAATCAAGGAGTTGCTTGCATGCTAAGGGTATTTATTGTGCAATAAGTTTAATCTACACTGCTACTCCAGGGACCCAACTTGGAGTTTAACGGAACACGTCAAGGAGTTGAAGTCCTCCTTGAAGACCTGGAGGCTGGTCTACTGGAGGCTATGGGGTCAGGTGGGTCTGCCCTATAATTATTTTATCTTCGTAGGTCCACTAAATTTCTTTGAAGATTTCAGCACCAAAATTATTTCCCTTCGTTATCGGCTGAAGTATCTTGAGTGTGCAGAACATACAGAATGTGCAGTAAGCTGCAGTCTGTAGGACGTATATAGACTCAAAACTCAGAAATCATTATGATGAACGGACTGTTTGATGTCCTGATTAGATTATCTCTGCTGTGATAATGTCATGTTGTCCTAAATATCACTAATTATAGATAACCTTTGCATGTATTCACATAGAATATCGAGCAAAAAAAGTGTATTGCAATTAATTATAGATCACCTTAATACGTATTCACATAGAATATCGAGCAAAAAAAAGTGTATTGCAATTAATTATAGATCACCTTAATACGTATTCACATAGAAAATCAAGCAAAAAAATGTATTGCAATTTGGATTTGGAATTGGAAGTCTGACTCATTTGTTTGAGTGATGCAGGTCCATTTCCTGCGCAGGTGTATTTCTTTCTGCCAGATCAAGCACGGACGGTAAAATATACATCGCAAATTAACCAAAGTCTCACTCATTTGTTTGAGTGATGCAGGTGCACTTCCTGCCGTGCTCGACGTGCGGCGCGGTGTTCGGGGCGGGCGCCCTGCGCTTGTGCCGCAAGCACAAGATGGACCCGCAGTTCAGTGACGCCGGGGAGCTCGGTCCCCTCACTGCTAGGGGAGGGGACCATTACCCTTGTTGCGGGGCCCGGGCCCTCAGGTTCTCCCCTCTACCTCTCAGGAATGTGAGCTAATAGTGACATGATTTTAGTTATTTGCAGCACTATGAATTGTTGGTTAAAATTATAATTATTTCAGTACGTTGCCGTAAAAGCAATATGCAATTTCTGAAATAGCTACTTGGAAACGGAAACTGCAGAAAAAGGCTTAAATTTTACCTGATTTTTTTGATGAGGTGAGGGCTTTCATTATCAATTTGTAATTATTCGCTGGATACATGAGAAGGAAATTGTTAATGAAATATTACTTATAATGAGGCTTTCAGCTCAAGTGTCGGTTTGCATAATTTTTTCTCTCTATTGTAAATAAATAAACGCTATCGTGCACGCCTGCGTTGTTTAAACTTAATAACAATTCATCGCAAATCCGAATTGTTTTTAAATTAAATTGAGGAATATAATTTTGGTTGTATATATTAAGTAATTAATATATTAAATAATATTATCCTTCAGGGCTGCCAGACGAGCGAGCACACGGTGCTGCTGTGCCGGCGCCCTGAGGAGCCTTGGGGCGGCCTGCACAGCATCTACGACGACCTGCTGACCTACCAGGCACTAGTGTGTCCACCTGCCTGCACCCTGCCACCCCTCCAGCAGGTAGGTTGCCTGGTAGGACAACCTGCTGACCTACCAGGCTCTATTGTTCCGTGGGCGCATAAATAAATTTATATTTTTAATATCGTTGAGATATTTTATAAATGATATTGTAGATATCGATATTTTCTCGAAAATATCAAGTTTATCCCGCATAAATCAATGTCGAGTGTCTGCCCACCCGCGAACATACAAAATTGATTAGAATCTTTATTATCATTGAGATAATCTCACCCTAACTAATTTGTTATCATGACTCATCAGTAGAATTTTCATACTTTAATTTTTCGATTTATAAAACAAATATAATTGAATAAATTTTTACTTTTATTTTTACTAAAATATATTTAATGTCAATTGTCCCCAAGGGAGCTGTGTGGAGGAACGTGCCTCTCTTGCCCGCGAGGTCTGAGAGATCGTTTCTGGACCGATCTTGTTTTCTCGGCAGACAAGGTGAGATCAATGGAAGGAATTGATGGTAAAAGATGAATAATATGTTGAGATATAATGAAAGTAAATGATGAATAATATGTTTTTTTCCGAGGAAATCATGCACATACAGCAATCGTTCGGATAAATGCTGATTCCATCGTGACTTCATCGGGAATAAGGTCTATTCTCACTACATCAGTGAATCGTGTTCTTTTTATACAGAATCTCAAAAATTTGAATAATTTCTGTCGTAATACATTAAAAACATAATAAAAGTAAGTTAAAGTGATTTCTTCTCTTCTCCATTGCAGTACCACCAGATACGACTTATGACGGCGACGAAATAACATCATCGTCGCCACGTCACGGAGCACAAATCCAGCCAGGGTCTAAATTAAACAAAACGTCTTTGCCGGCGGTCACGTCTGAGGACCAGCAATATCCTGTCACTGTGGGTGGGGACAAAGGCCCCCCCAGCTCGTCACGGGGGGCGACCAGCTCGTCACGGGGGACGACCAGCTTGTCACGGGGGCCGGACGTGGCAAAAGACGACGACGTGCAGGACTCGGACGAGGACGAAGGAGCGCCATCGAAGCTCCTGCCGCCCAGGATGAAGGCGGCGCTGCAGCGCAAGGCTGCAAGAGTCAAGCGAGCGCTCAACTTCCAGTGAGATGATCGATATTCAATTTTATTTGTGTCAATATATTTATTATTCACCAATCAATATATAGTATATCAATATATAATATAGTCAATATACTTATTTTCACCATTACGCGATGCTCGAGATTGAGTTTTTTATGTTAAATTGTTTTATTTCGTTAAATTGTCATCACCCGAGCGAGTTCTCAACTTCCACTTAGCTGCTCAACATTCAGTTTTGATATTAGTGTTATATTTATTTATATCCATTTATCATAGTTATTGGTATTACACTATTTTGTTAATTTGTCATTACCCAAACGTGGGAAAATTTTGACGTCACACATTTGTTGTTGTTGCTTATTGTTCTTTTCTTGCTTGGTTGCTTATTCGATGGTCCCGGGCATTACACACAGTCAATTTGTGGACTCCATTTATGAATGAGATAAAGTTTCTTGAATATTTCTTCATGCGGTGCTTAAAAGATAACGACTGATTGCAGGTTCAATGCCATAAAAGAATGATGCGTGCTAACGATTCATTACCACAATAATTTTTTTACCATAATAATCGAGGATAAATTGACAATGAACCGATATTCAGCCAACAAAATTAAATTACTTTGTCTATATAAAACTGTAAACTTCCAGACCCGGCCAGAAAGACCCGTTAGCTAATCCATGTCATTTAGGGTCCTGGCTCCGCCAAGCTGGCGCTGGGACGTGTCGCGGTCTGCCCGACACAACCAGGACATCCAGCGGGACCGCGAGGCCCAAGTCATGAAGAACATAACGGCGTGGCTGAGTCTGGCCCGGGCCCCGGACTCGGCGACGGTGAAGGCCCCAAAGATCACCGCTCCGGAGACCAGTCGGGCCGCGGGAGGGCCAGCGAAGCACGACGCTAAGCATCGCCGGGAGCCGCCCGCCATCAGCCCGGGCATTTATTATAAAATGGAAGCGGAGTTCCGACAGAAGCACGCGTCCCAGCATAGCAGCAGCCACGGGAGCTTCAGAGCAAAAGTGCAAGCGATTTCAAGGATCAAAATGAGACTGAGGAACAGGACGGCATTTTCTGCCAGCCGCTGAGTCTCAGTGCCTCTAAAACTGATCGCAGATTCCTTCAATAGCAGGAAGTTACAAGTGATGTACCGCAAGGGTGTCTCATATTTCGTTTAACACTGTCTTCAATCACAATGCATGGCCAATTCCCCAGGTTAAGTCATCCTTTCTAATTAAAATGAAATTACGACAATTGAAGCACGAAATCGTATGTTTTCATGATCGAATAATGAGTTTTAGTCTGAGTTAAATGATAAATAATAATTCAACTGAAATCGACAAAATAAAGTCACCTTAATTGTTGTTTGTAACAGCGTTGATTGGAGTGCTCATTTGCACTATACTGTAATGTCACATTGCGTAGATCAACTGCTTCTCTCAGTTGTAATATTTATAAGTTAGGAATAGAATATGAATAATCATACCGTGATAGTTGAACGTTAAGCCACAATATATGGAAAATTTTACAGCAATTTGTCAATGTTTCCGTTATATATGATGAAAATTCGTTTGTTCTTGATTCTGCTTACGACTGGTGATTAGTCTCTGTGTTTTGTATGATTAACTGCATGGACAGTACACTGTTAGAAAAATTACCGTTAACGGTATTACCGGCGTTTCAGTGGCCGATCAGCACGTGAAATAAAACACCGTGTTGCCGTTTTTATTCTAATTTAACACTAAAAATCCCTAAAACCTCTGATAAAAACGGCGAAATAGTTTATTTTCACGGGGCGACCGGCCACTAGAACGCCAGTGGGACCGTTTTTTCACCGTTTTTTCTAACAGTGTACATGCATCTCTTGATCTTCTAATTAGCCTTTAAAAAGCTATTAAAGGTCTAACTCACCTGGTTCTGGAGCTCAGTGAAATTGTTTCAGATGGGAAAATCAAGTTATTGAAGGAGTAGATAAATTTTTTTGAAATATTTTTGGAGCACGCAAGCTTCATTTGTTGACTTTAAATCAGTCGAGTTATGGACATAGAAGCATGCTTTTCTCGTTGAATTTTATCATTGCCTTCTCTGATAGAATATAATTTCTTCACCCGAACAAATAACTCATAAATAATTGTTATAATTTGAACTGTTTTTTTTTACGCAAAAAAATTAACACTAGTTTTAAAAAATGAATGCAGCTCACAGTATTTTCAAGCTGCGTTGGAGAATTCGTGTTTACAACTTCATTAACTTGGATGGTCAATCTGAAAGGGAATTTTGACTAAATAATTCTATTAATATGATAGCCAGTCGTTCATACCTTAAGCTAGAAGTGTCAGATATTCAAAATTCTTTTAAAAGAGTAAGAATTTAGCTTACACGAGTCATGAAGTGCTCTACTTCCTTCAAATGTATTTTCGTTTTCAATGCCGTTACGTTGAGCAGCTCCCACTGCGTTTGTCTAACAAAGACACTCAACACTGGCAGCCATTGTGGCAGCCATTAATCTCGAAGAAAGATTCATCCTTTGCTTCATCTTCTTCGTCTTTGTTGATGAAGTTCGGGAGCGCGGAAGATGGTCGTCTCTTAATTCGTGGACAATGTTTGACATTGACCTTTTCTGACTGCGTTCAAGTTTACTCAAACAGGAATCTTTACAAAAATTAATTTAAGGAAAGTACCTAGTCATGTTCCTATTTAGGTGGTCTTGAGTCAGCAGAATGGGTAAACAAAGACGGAAACAGAGATGAGCCACGCAAGCTAATGTCATGATAAACAAAGCTTTAGTAATCAATTGGTACCTCCAAGTAGGGATGTCTTTTCTAAATGTTGTTAAGCCTTGTATACAATTATTAGTGACTTGTTATTTTACGCGTGACAACCAATTTTTGGCTGGTGATTCGAACGAATTAACATGGTTTATGATGTAGAAATTATTATTCACAAAATTTGGGTGAACTAATGGAACTATAGTTGCAGTCGTCTACTTATCTTGAAGAAGTAAACTTTAAAAGCGAATATCTCTTAAAAATATGATTTTTCTCAGAATTATTTCCAGGAAATTCTCATGCATCCGGGCTTATGTATAACATGTTTCAATCAAGGTTGTTTATCAGCTGTACACTTGCATGCCAACACTAATGATGCAAACAGACGGTATATAATCTTGCTTTGCAAATCAAAATCTGAGTATAAAATAAAAACATCAAATGAAAAGTTCATGATGGAATATAAGTTACATCGGTCAGTCAGGAAAGCTCATGCAGCGATCCAAAAGTTTCACCTCTACGACATCTCACGCGCTCAGGAATATACTGTATGTCAGTAACGTTTAGAAAAATTACCGAAATTGTAATTTTAATTGCAAGAAAATAAAGTTGTATTCCAATGAGCTTGAGTATGGTTAGAATTATATAAATTTAATTATTATAATTAAATTTAAAACGATTTCAACTAACATTACGTAACGGAATACATTCTAAACTCTTATAGTATTCTATAGGCATGTCAAAGATTACCAAGAGGAATAAATGTATCATCTATCACATCCCATATCTCATTTATCATATTTTCAATTTGATATGCGAAAATACCTAAATTTAGCAAATTCCAATCGTTGGTTGCTGATGCTGATAAAAGTAAATTTTATATTCTTCTGGAGATTGAATTCACACTATTTTTGACGATTATTATCAATGGAGTGTTAATACACGGTATTTTTTTCTCGAAATTCAGTCATTTTAATCAAAAAATTCTAGAATAATTCTCCAGATCCAAAAATAAACGAATTTCTTTTTATAACAACTTGCAAGTGGATTACAGATTTAAGCCCTTGAACATGTAAATTGTACGCGTGTTGTTATTCTGCTCGATTTGACGGTAAAACTATATATGTGTGTTGTGGATGGATGAGATCGCTCATTTTTACGTAGACACTCCACCTAGATATTTTACCTAGGTACTCCACCTAGATATTTTTACCTAGACACTCCATATAAATATTTTTACCTACACACTCCACCTAGATATTTTTACCTAGACTCTCCACCTCGACACTTTTACCTAGACATTTTTAACCAGACACTCCACCTAGACATTTTGACCTAGACACTCCACCTACCACAGCTAAAGCCACATCAGTATTGGTGTTCTTGACGAAGAACTTATGTTTGAATGTTTCCGTCACTTGCTTGTGCCTGAGCATAAAACGGTGGCAGCGTAAAGCTCTTTTGAGGGCGAACTTCGTTAAGATTTCAAAGCTCTTTGATAGCTCCGAGGGGCCGCGGCCTTGCACTACAAGGATTCGAGTAACAAAGACGCGCAGGATTTTCTCACCGTTATTGTGAAGGCAATCAAGCTTTGGAACTGTCAACCAGACCACGGCTACTGAACACAAACGAAGGAGCGACATTAAAACGAGTCTCTTTATGATATCATTTGAAAAAAGTAATGAACACCTTGTAAAGATAACGATGCCTTATCATCCCTTCACAAACCGAAATGAAGCTGTCGCACAGTAATCCTGTAATTTTGTCAAGGCAAAAACTGAATAGTCAATGTTGCTTTGTTTACGAAGAAAGAGTTTAATTCGGAGACCACACAACTGCAGTCCTCAAGGTCGTAAGTGGTAGCGGAATTTCTCATAAATTTTTACATTGCTATTCTCAAACGAGTTGAAGAAAAAAGTTATTTCTTTCAGGTACCAAAATTTATTGCAACTTTCATGGAGATATCAGCAATATTACTAATAAGACAGAAATTAAAAAGAAATGTACAGGCTCTGGTGATTTTATAATCTTTCTCACTATTTCATGATGTAAACCGCACATTGTTCTGCAGTATCGGAGTAGCAAGGGTAAGATCATCACGCAAATGTTATTTTATATGATGAAGACTCGATTTAGAGGCATCGTAAAGCCCAATTCGCGTTGCTTGAAACATTATATAAGATAAAGAATACAGTTGTAGCAAACACGGACCTAAGAAGCTAAAATACTTTTAGTACCGAAAAGTACTAACACTATTCGTATT